CAGCACGGTGTAAGGGATAGTACAAGATTCAGTATTTAGATGTGACAACTGCCAGTTACTTGCAGTAGTTTGTAGCTCTACAATGAGCTCTATCACTTCTGGGGATTTCTTCCCCCCACCCCCCGATATTTTTATATTGATACTTTCCTCCAGTATCAACAGAGAAATTGTATTGATTTATTGCCACTAAGCATTTCTGTGCTCATATTTTCAATTCAAGAATATTGTCTTGAAAATATGTTGCAACATACTGTTTTCCTTCCATACTCAAGGAATCACACATAGCAGATGGAATGGGAGTTTCTCAGCTGTACTGAAGATGGTATGAAACGATTACAACTACGAAGACATTTGGATGTTCTGAGACAGTATCGCAATGTGTCAATTTTTATAAACATTCATTCCTCTTATCAGAGTAGTAACTAGTCATTAAGGCCTTAAACCTAAAAAACACTTACGCACTTTACTGTAGCTGATCCTTCCATTATTACTCACACCTGTAAAATTACAAAAAAGTTATGCAAGTGTTTGTGAGACTGGATCCTATGATCACATCACTAAGCTAAAACAGACCAAATTCACGAAGCCATTTCTATCAGAACCCCACTTGTTTTGGTTTAGTATGTATGTGTGTGTATACTTCTATATAAAAATAAAACCTGGCAATATAGAATGGCTTTCCAAGTTACTTATATATTAATGCAAGAGCTGTAGATGTATTTTTGAACATATCTTGTAATTATTCTTAAAAGCATGCTTGGAGCTTGTGATAATGTATTTTATAATATTAGACAATACGGCCACATTTTTTGCTTTCATTAGAGAGCTTATTCATATGTATTTAAAGTATTTGCATAAATTTTACACTTAATTGGGCTTTAAATATGCATGATTTCGATGTTACTTCTAGCCAAATTTCATTAGTGTGTCATTGGCAAGGAAAAATTTCAGGAGCAAATTTAGTTGTCAACTGCTACAAATTACCATTTAGTATTTTTAATATTAATCTGAACACGTATATAAAGGTAGAACTTAGAATTAAAAAAGCAAGCCGGCACATTGTTAGTGTGCTTGAATCAAGACAGAATGAAAAATAAACAACAAATCCAACTAACTGGTTTTATATGTTGAAACAGAGACCATGAAAAGCTTCTATACTTAGATAAAAGAATAGCCCGAAGTATACTTCATACAGTCCACAGTTCATAAGGCTTCAGATGTGTATTAGGCATTTCACTGGTCCCTCTATTTTTATGGTTTAGGCATCTGATTTTACGATGCTTCCTCATCCAGAAGCCAATTATGATAAACATAATTTGTAAGGCAGATTTAATTATATATAGGTTTCTGGTCACTAAATAATTTGATGGTGTTCCAAAAAAACCCCAAACCAAAAGCTGTTGGTTATTCTACATTCAGTGCAATAGCTCTGTGCTACTGCATCAAACAATATGGGTTGATCACTGCTAATCTCATTTTGCTGCTGATGGATGAGTGCTGCATGCTGAGATTGTACTGACATCACGCAATGAAGGAGGCTGTGTATGAAATGAGATTGCATACAAAAGGTTAGCTGATTCAGTGGTATCAATGCACTGTGAAGAAATTAAAAGTTACGTACCTATTTTTATGTCTGTGAACTGCAAACGGGACAACTTGTTCTGCATTAGGAGTACTGTTCTTTAAAAGTAAATCTTTTAAAACAACCCACTCAAAGCTGGAGCTAATGACAAAGTGGGTCTCTGGATTGGAGCAGCAGTTATTTGAAATCAGAGGCAATTGTTCTGGGAGAGGAAACATTTGCCAGGGGGCTGAACAAGACAGGTTATTGCAAAAGGGTGGCCATGAGGAAAGGTCCCTGATGCTATGCGCATGTGATCTACAACTGGAATCGCAGTGCTTAACTGGAACTTTATTATAAAGATTTTACAGGACATGTACGTGAAGATCAGACAGAGATGTGTGGATCCTAGGTCCTGTGGTTTTCTATGGACGTAGCCCCTACAACCTCTGAGGCCCAGTAACACAGCTGTTTTCCAGGAAGGAAAAAAGCTACCATGTATAAAATTATATCCTTCAGTGAACATGGCCATCAGAATGGAATGACAGCAGACAAGACGGGTGATTTGCTAGGAAGAAAAAAATAAAAACAAAACAAAATTGGACAACAACAATGGAAGAAAATTCTGCTGTAAAGGCCTTCAGTGTTCAGGGTCTATCCTTGCCTTCTGGCATGAGAAGAACTGTTGCAGTGCCCTTCAACTCTCATTTCTCAAGTTCATGATGTAATAACGTCTGAAAATAAACCACATATGAAGAATCACTTCCTGAAGACTGTTTGTACCCCTGACTTGGATTCTTTGTAGATCAAGATATTGGCTTGCCTTTGATTTACTAAATTGTGCTTTTTAAGTTCCTTTAAGAACAGATCCAAAGCCTGCCAACTGGGCACGTTCGTGTTTCTCTGTTCTACAGGGTAAAGGAGCTGTTTTTTCTTCTTAAAAGCAAAACTAGGGAGATGGTTACTCCTGCCTTCCGAGATCAGCACCATCGCAGTAAAAGATGTACTTTCAAGATCTTAATGCAGCTATCATTTGATAAACTATTCTTCAAGAGACTAAATCCTCTCATGCGTCCCAGATGGACATTTACAGTTAGTACAGGCTTCTTAGCACTCTGATTTTATAAGATGCCAAGGCAAACCTTTCTTGTTTAAGCACTCCTCTGTAAGTAATTTTCCAAAAGAATGTCCACTGAAGGATTTTTTCCAGGCTATGTTCTCTATGAAACTTGTCTTTCACCAAAAGAGAGAACTCATTTCCTTACTGTTTTTTCCCAGCAATTGTTGTTGCCCAAACCCTGATTCCTACAGTCTGTCTGAAAACTACTCCTTCCAAAACATCTTGATCTGTGGGAAAGTTAGAGCTTCCTTTAGAAGAGCAGGACTAGCTGGTGTAGCAAGCATTTTTCCAACCCTACTTTCTAAGAAAAGTAGGGTTGGAAAGGAAAAACAAAGGAAAACAAAAATCCACAAAGTAGTATCCTGTTCATCTCTGCAAGACCAAAGATAGGACAGATACTAGTATCTGCATTCTAGAAGTATCAGAAAAAGGAAGCAAATGTCAGTAAAGCTTTTGTAAGTGACACAAAATGATGAGTTAAACATTATACATAGCAACAATACGATTTATATTTATTATTCTTCCTCTTTGAAGAGGATCAACAACACTTCAGTGTATCCAAAGATACTCCACTAAGGCATTAACAACATTTTGCAGTTATAGGCATAACATGTATTGTATCACACAATATTAGCATATAAGCTTCCTTTTGGCCAACGAAATAATATGGAAAGCAAAACAAAAGGATCACTAAAAGCTAAATAATGAATCTGTAATTAGAATAATTTTCTGGAATTATATTTTTATCACTTTAAATATCTACTAAGAAGTTAAGTTTGTCAAAGTTTGGCGACAAGCATGCAGAAGACATCTAAGTATTGCTGGTTGAGGTAATTCTCAGATATATATTATAAACTGCAAATAGATTCATATATGGTTTAAGATGGAGTAAGCTCACACTTCTGTAAAGAAGTTATTGTGTCCTCTGTCCCTTGAGCTGGCACCCAGCACACAGACCAGTTTTAAGTAAAATCTTTTTATCCTTCCTGGATCCAGTTTTCAATTGAATCAGTTCAGCAACCTGGTCACTACATTCACTGATGCTGGTGACAATTTTTCATGCTTGTTTCCCGGCATGAAAGTAATATTCTTAGCACTTATTTGCATAATGAAATGAATGTCAGAAGTATATACAGGTCTGAACAAAATATGCATCAGTAACAAATGCTAACACAAGTGAAACCACATGGGACAACTGCTCAGTGTCTCAGAAAGTACTTATCAGTGCAGAATAATTATTGTTTCAGAGTAGACCTGTTGTATCAACACATAAGAAGCTGTAAAAAACATCATTTTCCAAACTACTGGGCATGGCCCATGAGGGATTAAGGGTAAAAATGAAAAATATGAATAGTTTTGTTTTGCTAAAGGTAAATTCAGCTTTCAAAAGCTTGGTATGCACCAGATCTTGGACGGGGTTTTAAAAGTCTACAGGGCAAATTCCTTTGCCTCTACTTCTGCCCAAACTTCCCAGCTCTGTCAGTTTTCAATGGGAAGATTCAGAATCATTTATTGGTGTGAAGTGGGAGAAGAGTATTTCAGATCACTTGATACTTGAGAAAATCTTAGATGTCAGCAGAGCAAGAAATAACACTAATCAGCATAGGAGATGAAATATGATTTAAATGCTACAGCCCAGGAAACAGAACAAAGCAACAAAATCTCTTCCAGTCATTATTAACTGCAGATTGCATTCAAAAGCGGTATCATCATTAATGTGGACTTCATAGCAGCCGGTATGTTTATGGGATAAGCCAAAGACTTGCATAAGAATACACAGACAAGCTGGTTATCCTGAATGCTTCTAGTTGCCTTCATATTGCTGAAGAGAAGTACTATTCAGAGACATGAAGAGGTGGCAGAATTCTCAGAGTACTGCACTGCATCACCAATGATAAACAATTTTATTTATAATACCTAAGCAATTACTGAATCATATTACCAAATAATGATTTTGACAAAAAACTGAATTTGAAGCCATATGAAGTTGATGTGAGACCCACTAAATTCATACAATAATAGGTTTGTTTACTGAAGAGCATCTACGATCCTTGCTGCACACCACAATAAAATAGCAATTGAGGTAGCTTTTGATAAATAGCTGTATAACAGTTCAATATCAAAGCAAATCAAACCCATATGTGACAACGTACCAACTTGTTAAAAGAACTAGGGTAGTTAAATGTAAGATAAATCAAAAGAACAGGTTAGTGAGGAAGTCCATGCAATTGTGAAAACTGAAATAAAACCCAACACCACTCATTTGAGTAGGGCCTGATAAAATTCTTACATTTTCTGGAAAATGAAAGATATGCTTACCGTTATCTTTGCTGCTGTTTTCTTCAATTGTCATTTGTTCTGCTAGCTCAGACAGTGATTCATCAATGGTCTGGCTTCCACGCAAGGTTAAGGAAAGTCTCCTCTTAAACTTTTTCATTCTATCAGTATTAAGTCTGGCTTAAGGAAGCCTGGAAAAAAAAAAAAGATTACAAATCAAAAAGTAAGAAAAAATTAGTTCATCAGAAAATGACATTTAATGACCTCGCATAAAAACGCAGGAAGGCTTACATAAGATTTAGTCAATATGCAAGTTATCCTTAGAACAATATCCTTAAAGCAAGATTACACTACTGGACTGAAGAAGAATGTCTTGAGAGTAGGTGCCTATACATTTTTGCAGTTTTTATTTCTGTTAGGGAAAATGAGAATCTTTGCTTCTTTAGAAGAGAACAAAACAGGTAATTTGATCACTGATTTTAAAAACAATAATAAAACAGTCATCTGAAAACTTACTGAGTGCGCACTCTGCTGCCTCCTCCGCAGCCTCTTTCACCAAACGTGCTGAGGAGGAGGAGGCTGGAACCTTCTCTCTCTTTCAGCCCGTTTGTTTACGGATGAGAAGTTACTGAACTTCTCTATATTTTGCCCTTTTCACAAAAGGAGGAAGGGGACAACACTAAAAGCCTTAAAAACAAAAGCAATTCTCAAACCCGATCCCACCTAGGGAAATAAATATCCAGGGCTTGATAACGACTGCTAGAATGGACGTTGCCCTACAGTCAGGCAGTAAGACTAAACTGGGAACAAAGCAGGAGGCACTTTCTCCATGGAAAGCGGTACGCAAGCAAGCAGTAATAACAAAGGTCCAGGCTGAGAAACACGTTGTCTCAGGTCTAAGCTGGTAAGTGAACTTTGCAGTGTGCCATATGTTTGCCCTTACATGACAAGAAGCACAATTCTGTCCTTCGTTAGTCTGTATGGACAATTCACCCTAGACATAACTTCACAGTTAACTCATTCATCTGCTCGTAGCCCCCAAGAGTCACATAGGCAGTGTTAAACCACAAGCACAGAATACTTTCAAGTCTGAGCTGCTCATATATTTTTTTTCCTGCATCAGCCTCTTTGCACTCCAAAACATGTAATTCACATACAAAATTAAAAAAAAAAAATCTTTTCCTCGACGTCCTCCTTTGAACAGAGAAATGCAAGAAGTAGTGTGCTAAAGAGCTACATTTAATAACAAATTATGAATACGATTACTTTTAAATTGACATTGTCCCTTTAAGTATACACATTTCAACTGCATAGCTTACTCTTTGTTTAGATGCTACATAATAAAAAGAACAAGTCCATGGAACAAGTTGGAAGTGTCTGCTGGTGGCAGGAGAACACATACATATGATAAACTAAACCATCACAAGACTAGATTGCACAGGACAGTAAGTAACACAAAAGGATGGATAAAAGCAGACCTTTGGGATTTGAGCCCCAAGTCCGAGATGAACAGTACAATCACTGGCAAAGCAGCAGCCGCATCCAAGGGGAAAGAGGTGGATTACAAAACAGGATAACATCTTAGACAACCACAGCTACTATAAGCAGAAACAGTCAGGCACCGGGTACAGATATGTAGGAAATAAAAATATAACTGCTGGAGATACAGTTAAGCCAGCAGTTTCTAAACTGCCCTTTTAATGTGTCACTGTGTGTGCAGTAAAGCCACACCTTAGTATGAATACTTTTGCTCTCTCTCACTCAAAAGCAGGATATTCTTATTGTTCAGAAACTGCATTCAGAGAACGTTCCAAGGGGAACATTGACTTTTCCTGTTCAGGACCTGCTTTAAAGACCTTACTTGAAACTGCTTTATTTCTGTGTTTATTTTAACTTTTACGAAACGATGGCCTATCTTTCTCTTAAAAACCTGGTTTTTAAAAAAAAATTGGAAGAACACATCCTTTATATGTGTTTTTACTCAATTCTCCTACAATGTTCTTTGAAACCTGCATCTTCCTACGTGTATTATTCTTGAAAAGGATACGTGCATTTTTTAGCTATGTAATGCCCTAAAGCTACCTGACAGCACAACAATTTCTTTCCAATTTTCCACTTGGGCAGTAACTGAAAAAACAGATGCCTTTATATGGAAACAGGCTGTTCCGGGCTTTTGATACTGCAAATATTCAAGCCTACACAATTTTTTAATCAAAAAGAAGGTCTACTGCTGAAGAATATTACATATAAATTAACCGACACATGGATTAGAAAATGCAAGAAACATTCTAAATCTCAAGCTAACATAAAAGCAAATATTTTGTTAACTATAGTTAAAAATTTCTCCTGTTAAAGGAGGTTTCATGGACTGCTGAAGCACCATTTTTACTGAGTTTCTGAATTAAGTTTAGGGCTTGATTTTGAAAGAATTTAACAGTAAAAAGGAAATCAGGAGTGGGAATCCATGTGTGAGTGAATGCTTCCTTCTACTCAAAATGTAATTCAGTTTTTTTAAAGGGCAAGATGCTCACTGGCATGAAACCAAATTTTCCTCCCTTAAAGCATCAGTATTCTTGCTAACTCAGATGTGTAAAGAATGCATATATTTAAAAAAAAAAAGAGTGACCAGTATCTAGCACTTGGAAATGTCCTATCTTTTTAACGTCTTTATTCTCACTTCTGGCCAAAGTTGCAGAACCTGCTAAATCTTGGTAGTTTGAGACAAGATCTCAGTGAACAGTGCTTTGAAAATATGATCTATACAATCCAAAGCTAGCACTGGTTCTCTAGAACGACAGCAATTTCACAGAAAAGTCAATTTTAATTCAGTCTAACAAAACTGAAGGGAAGATGCCCGATACTTATTTTTACCAATTCATAAGAGACACGTACTTCTTTTCTCCATTTAACAGTAAATCTAATTTAAATCCAAAATGGAGTTACTTATTAGCAATATACATCTAGTGGCTATGATTAGATGCAGTAAGACTCCTGATGTTCCCCCAAGTTCTAACAATTGTGAGAAGAATACACTATTATTTTTGAGTTTTAGAACAGAGCCCAGGGCTTGACTATTCTTTTCTGTAGATTTATCTACTCTAAGTCATACACAAACCAAATATTTTAGATGTCATGGCAGACAAATCCATACACTTGAATGCAACTAATGCAAATTCTAATCTTCTGTAGACAGAATGAGGACAAGCAATGTGATACAATACTATCTGATACAACCCAGAAAAACTGGCAGAGACATACTTGTTCAGTCCTTATATTGATATGAAATGAAGGAAGCGACAATGTATTAAAGAAACTGCTGCGTCTTACAAACGATCTCCAGTCTACCCCTGAAAAGTTGGTATTTTTGTCTTTAAAAGCAACACAAGTTAATACTTGAAAACTATGCTAAAATTTACCTTTCATACAAATTTTTCTACTTAAAGCCTGCAGAAAAAGCATTTTTCAACATTCACTGGCATTACTCAGTTTGCTTCAATAGTCTTAAACTCCCACTTTGCTCTCAATGTCATTTAAAAGCAATTTCTGTAATACAGTTCTGAAAACAAACTCCACAGTTTTTTAAATCATTCAAGTAAGACCAGATTTAAACAAGTGGGTTCTGGCTCCCTTTCTCTGTATCAGACCAATCCTTCCCACAACGCCTGTAGTAGAGCACTTCTCATTTCGTGAACACAGATGTCCACAACACCCTGGCTATACAACAGATAGACGTTAAAGCATTTTGATTCCAAAGTAATAACTCAACTAGATTCTGCACTCATCTATTCACCAAAAATCAGAGGCCTCACAATGCCTGTGGCTAAAAGTCTCAAAACCCTACCACCACTCTCTTCAAGCTCCCAGACTCTTAGTACATTGAAAGTGAAAAAAAGGAATGTGTTGCGTGCTTAGTCCTTGTAAGTTTAAACAAATTCAGGTACAATTTTCAAAAGCAATGAAGTTATTTAATAGCTTAAATTTTAGCCAGTTTATTTCAGTAGGGTCGCAAATACCAAAAGTTCACTAAGATTTTGCTGATTCAAAGCCCTTTAAAGTCAAGGGAACTTGTCCTTCAACTTCAATAAGCTTTGGATCAGACTAAGAGCTGACGCTTCTGTTCCCAGAAGTTACATTGCATTAAGATGCATCTACATAGAGATTAAGCATTTTAAAATTACTTTTCCACTTATATACACACTGAAGTTGCTATTTGACTGTTTTTACAACCTGCTTTACAAGGCGGTAGGCATTTTCCAAACATCTAAAGGCAGTTCTTGTTCTGAAAAACTCATTATCTGAAGATGACAGGTAAAGCAGGAAGAAAGGACAGGAACAGAAACCCTACGTAACAGCAGCACGTGAACAACATCATGAACGCAGCATGGCCCTTAAGAATGGGTTAACAAACTAAAGCCACCTGCATAAGACATTGAAGAAAGCAGGTAACACCACTCCATATGAACTCCTAGGACAGAAGGAGGTGCAAACACACGTGGGACACTCAACCGGATTTCATAAAAACGCTACAACCAAATGGTACATTTACACAGCAGTGGGCCAAACCGTGTAAAGATGGTTAAAAAAATTGCAAAAAGGTACACTGTGGCAGTGTTTTGAAGAGATCTTAAGATTCTATTGAGACTTTTTTTTAGGATCTAAGGTGGAAAATCAAGTAAGGTATTATTGACTGAAGAATAAAAACAGTCCATACAACTAGAAACAAGAATAACAAGAAACATGAAATTCTCTCTCATATGGTCCTCCTCAGCATTACAGTTGTTAATGATTCTCAAAATCCATGGTGTCACTTACTGTACCATTCAAATCTGAACAGACAATCATTTAATCTTCCACTAGCATTTTAATTACACCAGTTACAGGTCTGTTAAATATTTTCAAGCACATAATAAACCATGCATCATTCATTTATTTGGCTGCATTAATAATTTTAGATGCATCTAACTTAAGAGTAAGTATTTCTGAAGGAGATAATCCAAGCTTGTGTCAGAAAGAGAGGTCTGAAAAGCTCAGAGTACTGCAAACAATATTAATTAAAAACAGAAACAGGAAACACCTGTCAAGGATATTCTCCCCTTAATCTAAAAAGAACACCAGCTTTCTACAGTGTTTATTAAACTGTTCTCAATCTACCTGAACTTA